GCACAAATTTTGTGCACTGGGCCTCTAGTAAAAATATATCTTTTTAAAAAAAGAATGTTGACACGTCTTCGGCCACACGCGACCGCACTGACGCCGGCACCCTTTGCCTTCCTCCGCCAGGCTGCACTTACCCGTGGGCTACCATGGCCGCGCCTCCTCCGTCGTGGTGTCGGGCACGCCGATCCGCAGGCCCATGGGCCAGATGTGACAGTTGCTAAAAACGTCCTCAATCTGAGGGGTCGACCTCAGCGAATGTACCCCCACTTCTTCTAACGCCACTTCTTCAAAATAGACTCGCTCAGGCCAAAAACCGACTTCTGCGCATGGGCCACGAAGTTTCAATTGCACTGTACATGTGCGCCCGCACGTGGTATTTTGTGGAAGAGCCATACTCAAGGGGCCACAGAGCCGCATGTGGCTCGTGAGCTGCGGTTTGCCGACCACTGTCCTAACCCTTTCATTCCAGACTCCTCCCTCACAATGGAATTTCTCATCCTGGCTGGCCTTTTGAGCACTGCCACTGCTCTGCCCATCCCTGTGAGTACTCCCCGCCAGTTGCCCACTCCACTTGCATTCTAGAGACAGTATTTCTGGGCTAGAAAGCATTTCCTATATGTTCTCATTTCACAAAAGAGGATCGTGGAGTCCAGCAATGTTGTAGACCCAGACACGTCCTGTTTTTCCCTCAGACCAAGGGTCTTCCCAATACAAATCCCAGCTGCATGGTGCTATTTGCTAAGTGCGTGACCTTGAGCGAGGAAGAAACCCATGGCTTCCCAGTCTGTAAAGTGAGTTATAAGAGCGACCTCAGGACCTGCAGAAAATGATAAAAATGCAGGAGCACTGAAGAGTCCTAATTGGAGCACAGGAAACTCTTAAATAAACTTAGCAAGAGAGAACAAATATTCTGCAGTGACCTAGGTCTTTTTTTTTTTGTTAATCCTCACTCGAGGATATCTTTCCATTGATTTTTAGGGAGAGTGGAAGGGAGAGGGAAAGACAGAGAGAAACATCCATGTGAGAGAGACACATCGATGGGTTGCCTCCTGCACACGCCCCGACCAGGGCCCAGGCAGCCATGGTACATGCCCCGGACCTTTGGTCCATAGGCCGCCACTCTATCCACTGAGCCACACCGGCCAGGGCATGGAGGGACTTTCCATAGCAACACCCATGGTTTAGGTGAGGCCTGGGGAAGCTCTGGGTGTCCACTCACGGCAGGTGGAGGAGGAGGGGTGTGGGCTCCCCCTCCCCCCGCCCCAGGGCTGTGGCTGTGGAAATCAAGGTTGGCTGGAGGCAGCAGGAGCTCCCGGTCTGTCCAGTCCTGCCTGCTGGTCTATTTCGACTCTGTCCAGAGAAGGAAATGTGTGGGCACCGCCTGGGGGTCCCCCAGGCCCAGCGAGGCCCTCTCAGCCGGCCCGCTGCCTCCTGCTGCCGTAGCCACGGTGCCCCGTGGACCCCAGAGCAGGTCTCCCAGCCCAGACCCACCGAGCCCAGGTTGGGGGCGGCCTTCTCTCCGGGTGCTCGGAGGACGCTGCGGGCAGGTGCTTCGCCTGCGTGGGCCCCGCCCGGTGCAGAGCCAGGGAGGGGAGGGCAGGGCCCCTGGTCTTGGCTGCGATGCGATCCGCTCTCAGCCGGGGCCCTGGGTCTGTTGTCTGACCTGGAGGAGATGTTTGCAATGTGTAAACACTCATCACTCAGCAAATACGACTCCGGTTTTGTTTTTGCAAATGTCACCGCTGACTCTGCTGTTGACAGTCATCGCCCCAGTTTGCCCCCATGACGTGTGGCTATTCTGCTGGTTCCTGGCCGTTGTGTTGGGGGTGTTTTTCTCCCCAAGGCGGTGGGTGACGGGCTTGGGGTGGGGAGGGTACACCCCACCAGGTTCTTGGCTGCGTTTTAGAGGCAGCCTTTTGATTTTACACGAATAATTATTTTTTTCCCTTTTTTTTGTGTGTGAATCCTCACCTGAGTATATTTTTTCCATTGATTTTTAAAATATATATTGATTTCAGAGAGGAAGGGAGAGGGAGAGAGAGAGATAGAAACATCAATGATGAGAGAGAATCATGGATGGGCTGCCTCCTGCACGCCCTCCTGCTGGGGATTGAGCTTGCAACCCGGGCAAGTGCCCTTGACAGGGAATCGAACCGTGACCTCCTGGTTCATAGGTTGATGCTCAACCATTGAGCCATGCCAGCCGGGCTCCATTGACTTTAGAGAGAGTGGAAGGGCGGGGGAAGAGACAGAGAAAGAGAGAAACATCGATGTGAGAGACACACATCGATTGGTTGCCTCCAGCACATGCCCTGACTAGGGCCGGGGATCGAGTCTGCAACCCAGATACGTGCCTTTGACTGGAATCGAACCCCAGACCCTTCAGTCCACAGGCTGACGCTCTATCCACTGAGCCACACCTGCCGGGGCTGATCCCCTCAGTTGCCACCAGCCTCACGCGCCGTCCGGTCCTGAAATGCAGAGCTGTGGAGGGCGGCAGGGCAGGAGCCAGGCGGCTGCTGGGCTTGGCGTTCAGGGCTGATCAGAAGGGTCATGGGCTGCAGTGCCCCGGCTCCCCAAGGCGGCCATGGGTCCCCCCAGGAGCAGCACACGACTTAGAAATAGAATCGAACAACCAAGGGGTCGGGCCGCCTGTCCCTCCCTGAGCTGATTCGGCAGAGACAGGCTGGCATCGTCTGTGAGCGTTGATTCCAATCCCCCCGGGAGCGTGGGGAGCAGCAGGTCACCCACAAACATCTGCTCTGCCCCCACCATAGGCGGCTGCTTATACTGGGGAGAAGGACAGAGATGACATGGGAAGGAGGCAAAGGGTGTACTAGGTGGGCAGTGCACAGGTAATGCGGGCTGGGGGTTTGCAGAGGCCTGTGGGTATGCAAAGGCTAGGGGTCTGCAAAGGCCTGTGGGTATGCAAAGGGCTGGGGGTCTGCAAAGGCCTGTGGGTATGCAAAGGCTGGGGGTCCTCAAAGGGCTGGGGGCCCTGGTTTCTGCAACCAGGTTGTTATGTTTCCATGGTAACAGGCAGCTCCTGGGTGGGAGGATGGGCTGCACTTCCAGGTGAGCTCCCAGTTCCGGATGCAGCCGCCAGCCAGGCCAGAAGGTGCCTCCTCTAATCAGAACAGCACAGTCTCGGTTAACTGAGCGTGATCGCTATGTTTACGGTTCTAGCTGGTCAGTATGCAAAGGCTAGGGGTCTGCAAAGGCCTGTGGGTGTGCAAAGACTGGGGGTTTGCAAAAGCCTGTGGGTATGCAAAGGGCTGGGGTATGCAAAGGCCTGTGGGTATGCAAAGGGCTGGGGGTCTGCAAAGGCCTGTGGGTATGCAAAGGCTAGGGGTCTGCAAAGACCTGTGGGTATGCAAAGGCTGGGGGTCCTCAAAGGGCTGGGGGCCCTGGTTTCTGCAACCAGGTTGTTATGTTTCCATGGTAACAGGCAGCTCCTGGGTGGGAGGATGGGCTGCACTTCCAGGTGAGCTCCCAGTTCCGGATGCAGCCGCCAGCCAGGCCAGAAGGTGCCTCCTCTAATCAGAACAGCACAGTCTCGGTTAACTGAGCGTGATCGCTATGTTTACGGTTCTAGCTGGTCCCCGATATCCTACTCCCGCCCCTGTCAGAAACACTGTGCATTCGGGGCCTCGGACAGGCCTGACCTTTGCCCTCCAGGTGCGCGACCTAGGGCGCCCGGTGAGCCCAGACCCTCACCCGCTCCCCGCGCGGCAGGCTTTCTTCGTAGGTCCCGGGAACCGCCTGGGGGAGCCGATCCCCATCTCCAAGGCCCACGAGCACATTTTCGGGATGGTCCTCATGAATGACTGGAGCGGTGAGTGGGGGCCCCCTGCAGACACTCCGCCCCGGGCGGAGACGGGGTGTCGGGGGCGTCTTCCCAGAAACCCGCTGGTTCCCTGGGTCCGGTGCTGGCTCCGGGAAGCCCGGGGTGTGGGCGTGGGTCCCACACAGACTTCTCCGCTCTCAGCCCCGGCGTTCCCTCCGCGGGACGAGGACACGGCTGATGGCACAGCTAACGGTCTGAGCATGTGTGTGGCCGTCCGAATGCCTCCTGGTGATACTTTATATATATATTGATTTCAGAGAGAGAAAGGGAGAGGGAAAGAGAGAGAGAGAGACATCCATGATGAGAGAGAATCATGGATCAACTGCCTCCTGTACGCCCCACACTGGGAATCGAGCCCGCAACCTTGATGGGAATTGAACCCGGGACCTTTCAGTTCACAGACCAACGCTCTATCCGTTGAGCCAGACTGGCTAGGGCCTGGTGATATTTTTTATACATATTTTTATTGATTTCAGAGAGAGAGAGACATCAATGATGAAAGAGAATCATGGATCGGCTGCCTCCTGCACGCCCCACACTGGGAATGGAGCCCGCAACCCGGGCCTGTGCCCTGACCGGAATCGAACCCTGACCTCCTGGTTCATAGGTCACCGCTCAACCACGGAGCCACGCCGGCCGGGCCTCCTGGCGATCTTATCGTCCCCATTTTGCAGATGAGGCACTGAGGCACCAGGAGGTCTCCGTTAGTTTTGCTGAGCTACGGTTTCCATCAAACCCAGCGGCCCAGCTTCCGAACCTGCCTCCACCCCGGGCGCATGCGGGAGGGAGATGATGCCTGGGGGCGCCCAGCCCCTTCACGGGGAACCATCCCGCCTGCCGGGTCATCCTGGCACAGTGTCCCCCCCCCCCAAAGGACCTCTGTCCTGGGCATCGGAGGGCGATAGCCCTTGGTCCGGGCGGCCTGGGTGGGGCCTAGTGGGGGGCGGCTGTGCTGGGCACCTCTGCCCCGGGGTCGGGGGAGGAGGGAGCCTGGGGCCGAGGTCCGGGGCAGCTGGGTCAGCCCTGCCCGCCCTCCTCCTCCCGCAGCCCGAGACATTCAGCGGTGGGAGTACGTGCCCCTGGGGCCGTTCCTGGGGAAGAGTTTCGGAACCACCATCTCCCCGTGGGTGGTGCCCATGGAGGCCCTCATGCCCTTCGTGGTGCCCAACCCGGAGCAGGTGAGCGCCGGTCCGCAGGGAGCCCCGCACCCCGGCCCCTAGGCTGCCCCCAGTGTGCCCTCCTGCCCTCCCCATACGGTTTTTTTGGGGGGAAAACACACTGTTTTGTAACCTTCGGAACCCTCCCTCTGAGGCCAGGGGACCTGGCACTTGGCAGGACAAGAAGTCCCTGCCAGGGCCACCGTGTTGCACAAGGCACCAGGCGGCCGGGTGTTGTCTGTGCGATGGCGCCCCCTGGGGGCCACAGGGTAGAATGCATTTGGAGCTGGTCCTGGGGCTGATGTCCAGGCCTCCTCTCCCCCTCGCTCCCCGGCCTGGCCCAGAGCGGCCGCTGCCCCCACC